TAGTTACTCTCATTCACCTGTACAAACTAGTCTTCCAGTGAGGTTGCACGGAGGTCGTTATAATTTAGCCAGATGGTCGTTTTTTCCTTTTTTGTTTTATGTTTTTTCGTATTTCCTAATCATCTGGCTTTGCTGAAGCTGGCATTTAAACGAACATATCCCTATAGATTCCTCAAATTGTTTATTTATCAATGGGGGAAGAACAGTAACTTTCAGCAAATCTAAGTCGATGATTAGTTCCTTGGAGCTACTCAAAAAATACTGGCGAAGAGCCTTGGGAAAATCAAGAATATGGTAGGGACGTGATGAGGAAACAACCTGCATTGGCAGTTTCGTGCCACATTGGCTGTGAAACACCCGTTGAATTCTGTCAGCATCAGCCTGAAAGTCCTCCAACGACACTGGTGAACGCTCCAAGCAACGAGAATAGACCAAACAAATCATGTCTGGTAAAAATGCCTGACTCAGAGGTTGATGTCCTTTTGAAATGTGTAAATAATCAAATGCCTATTTTCTCTGGCGTTTAAAGAAACAACAATATGGATTAATTAATATCTTCACCTGGTAATCCCAATAGTAAATCATCCTCAAAAATCACCACTTTGATAGGTGGTATTAACCACCCAAAAAGGCTAGGTTTGTTGTTAGGTTTCACACAGTATCATCTCCCACCTGCCAGGTCTGAGAAGCCCTACACTGGTGAATAGGCGCTCAGTAAGCCTCAGAAGCTTAGGCCGATCTCAATGGGTGGATAAAATGCATAGAATTATCTGAAGGGTTTGATTTAAATGTTTTTAAGTGGGTTCTAACTAACAAGTTTTATAGAACGGGGCTTCATAGGATCTAATGGGCTTTAATATATAGTTTGTAAAGGAGTTTCATTGGGATGTCAATGATTTTAGTTGGACAAACCGTGTTCAACGTCTTGATTTAGCGAACAATATTCATGGGAAATGCGGGGTTTTCCTAAAATTATCAACTAGCTGGGGTTGGGACTCCCAATCATGGCGCATCAAACCTGAAAGTGGTGCGGGAACAAATTAACACACCTCTACACAGTGTGGCTGTGACACAATGAACAATTTGGGTATGAGTGAAACTTCAATCTGAGTCTGGGGCGAAATCGGTTGGCAAAAACATACTGATAAAACCAATCCTTGGATATGCTTAAGGGTGGCAAAACAAAAATATTCCCAGCAGATTCTCCAGTCATTTATTCTGTACTAGCCAATGAAAAATAGCAAAATCCCAGAATCTAGATCTGGTTGGTGGTTTCAACCCCTCTGAAAAATATTAGTCAGTTGGGATGATTGTTCCCAATATATGGAAAAATGTTCCAAACCACAAACCCGAGATGAATCTAGATAGTCAAGCCATGTCAAGGCAACCGTTAACCAGGCCTCTTTCACCACCTAGTGGCCCCACCAGCCCCACCCGCCCCGCCCTAAAGAGGGCCCCGACTCCTGTCGCTGTTCTGCTTCGTTTCGGCTCCGCAGTCCCGTGAAGCAAACCTGGGCGTAGCTAGGCACGCACCCGGGCACCCTAGTGGCCCCCGGTGATCATCCCAAATAATCCCATGGCTATGCTGAAATGCCATACGGGATGCTCAAGAATAAACCCCAGAGGATTGTTTATTCATGGCGCTTTAGCCATGGGTAAACACGCCATTTTTGGTAAGCTTATCGGTGAGTTTCAGACTCATCTGCAACTCATACCTTCCCTTTACGAAATCGGGATGTGGATGGCCCATTCTGTGCGGGGTGATAGGGATTTCACGATCAATGTTGGCTAGCTTTATCTTGCTGCAACCCCAGTCTTCTGCTAGACGCGCCATTCTGCTGGCTTCGAATCACCTCAAGTAAATCATGTTAAATCCAATGTTTTATCATCAATGATCAATCATTGAGCCATGGAAAATCAATGATGTTTTGAACCACGGGTCATCTAAAATCCAACATGTTTGCATCATAATCCAATTAGACAATTAAACATGTTGTTTTGGGTGATACGCCGTTTTCAGAGAGACACCCATGCCACTGCTGTCGCCACAAATCTCCCCAGGGTGCCAGTGGCCTTACTGGGTCGCCACGCATCACGGCTTTGACACTCACGGCGAATCTCTTGGAGAGTTAGAGCTTCCCAAACCTTGGTAGGTCGGCATCAGAATGTGTGGAGTGTCACGGCCAGGAATCCCAGGAACAATGGCGATTTAACCATTGAAATGATGGAAAACCATGGAACATTGTGATTGAAATATCACGAAGGATGATTTTACCAAGACAAAATGATTTAACAGCTAAGCTAGCAATCAACAATATGATGATTTACTTAAACCATGGTTAACAAAAAACACCCCAAAATCGGAACTTCACCCGTGCAAACAACGTGATTGAAGCAACCAACAATCTAGATTTCATCAACCAAATTTGGGGTTGAATCCACTAAACACAGACTTCAATTTGCACATCTATTCGTCGAAGATTTGACCACCAGAGCATCACCAATCTGCTGGACCCCACAAGAAAGGTTTCTGATCATGTGCAGTGGGAAATCTCGAAACATAAAAGTAAGTTGCCGAAAGAATTCATGTGGGAAACTGCCAAAAAACTACCATTTGGGGATGGTTACCAGCACCCAAAATGGTGACTTGGGGCCCACTTAGTCACTTCGGAGGACACGGCCACACATGGGTATCCCCATGGAAGGAGATATAAGAAATCGTGCCATAACAATTGGAGCCACCAAAGGATTAGGAACATAGTGACCACGTGTTTTTTTTTCTTCTTTAAGCATGGGGGTCAAAACATGTATAATTTACAGGTTGGTTTGTTGCAGCTGTGGACATTTCACTTAAAGTGGAGGTCGCAAGAGTCAAAGAAGAAAATACATGAAAATACAAGAATGTGGTACACGTTGTTACGAGTAACAACTTTCTTTTCATTTTTCTACCTCACCCTCCCGTGCCTCAATTGTTCTTTGGAGAGGTGCCATTTAGGAACATGTAATTCATACTATTTCACTCCCTGGTGGGTGTCAATTCGGCCTAAAGGGGTGGCAACAATAGTGGCGAGATTGGATGACAAAACTCCGCGCACCGCTTACAGGCTGCAAAAACTCAGCTTGATTCCAAGCGCGGCCCATGTTGCATCAAACAGCAGATTGAAAACCAGAAAAAGTCTATAATAACCACCAGAAAGGTAGAAATTTGCGTTTCCAGGATCGTACACATAATGCTTACCATTGCTTACCTCATTTCCAGCTTTGGGGTACCATATTTACCACTTCACCGGTTTCACCAAGGTACCAAAGCCATGGTCAAACGGTCCAGGAGTGTCTTCCTGGAGTTTTGTTCACCAACCCATGGAGTTGCGGTTTAGTGTTACAGAGGAATCATTTTGAATCTAATGTATCGTGGGAAAGCCTCCCATCTCCCAACTATCAGTGAACTATATATTATTAATACATATTGATACTATATTTGTGGACTATGTAATACATGTTTAATCCTATTGATTTCCCAAGCTCTGAAACATTCTTGTCCAGCTGCAGGTTGACACCCTTTGTTGTCAACTTGGTAACCCACGGGTCATTCAGAGGACAACAATGGATTGGTTTAAGGAAATTCTACAAAGTTTTCTTTAATTGTTCCCTTAATCCAATCCACTGAAAATTGTGAAAGAAAATAAAGAAACAAGTCCAACAGCTCAGTTTATAGAAAAATGACCTGCGTTTGAAACCAGCAAGCTCAAGTATCAGTGAATCCCCAAAGCTCTGCAATGGGTTTATCAACTTTGCAGGCTCATCGGAATTGGGTATCAACCCTCTAAGATACGGAAATTCTGCATAGATCAAACTGATCAAACCATGAATGTCCATCAAAAAATGTCCCACAAATTTGGTTCATTGACTAGATTTACTGGCAATTTACATGGAGAAAGTTCTATATGTTCTATGATATCTGGGTAATCTGGGTAAATTATCATATTTCACTAACCTGAATTGTTCGGCCATGAATGGGGATGATTCCCCTTATGAAAACCCATGATTTCCAGGTTTCGGTCGTCCCATCCCATCCTGGCCAGGCCCGCTTCCGCCGGACAACCTGCGCGGGAAAGAAAGCACCATTTCTGGAAGACATCATGCCTGTGTGTATAAATTATGTAATGTATATTATAAATATAATATTGTATATACTATATACTTAAAATATAATATATATATACTGCGTATGATTTTATATGTGTGTGTGAGTTTGATGATTTCATCATGTGTACCTTTTCATGTGTACCTCATTCTACGTTGCGGCTTTGGGTGTGTCTCGGTTTGAGTCGGAGCATTGGGAGGCATAAAAGCAAGTAGAAACATACAACGTTCATCTGTAGTAAAGCAAACCGAGGCCTATACATGGGCACAAACGGGCAAAAAAACTCAAAAGCATGTACAAAATTTGCAACCAGCATTTCACTCCGTGCCATTATCAACCATGAAACGTAATTCTGAGCATCAAGCAAACTCTTACTGGGTAAGATGATCTTGCGGTCGTGTAAACTGTTTGAATTGAACTTCTAAATTGATCTGAATTGCAGGTCCAACTTCCCTCCGGCTCCATTTTCCTTCAGAAGTTCACCAATATTTTAATCATTCATAGCGGAAGCAAGTTAGGGATGTTTGGGAGTTCAGAAACGCCCAAGAAGTGAAGACCATCATTCAAGTGTCAGCTAAAGAAGACAACTGTTTGGCATCCAAAACATGTTTCCAAACTACAGCACCAACCCCATACCGTTCTATAAAATAACAGTTGGAAAAAAAAACAACACATTACAAAATTCACAGGCTCCAGTCGGGACACTGGTCTTAAAAAAAAAACTGAAAGACCACATCTAGTTGAATATCAACACCCTCCAAGTGACGCTTTTGTTCGACTTATGCCTAAAAAAAATTGTCCCAAATGGATCAAATGGTTGGGTTTGCCCATGGCTCCACGATGTCCACGGCCCTTTTTTGGCGAATCGCTTCTCGGTTTCTGGTCACCGCCCCCTGCTCCGGCTCCGTCGCCCACCGTGGCCACCGTGGCCACCGTGGCCCCCGCCGTCCCGGCGGTCCGGCGCGTAGCCGCGGCGCTTGGCCGCGGTGACGCGCATGAACTGCCGCGCCACCTCCCCGGGGTCGTCTGCCTTGGCAAAGTCCCAGTTCTTCCAGCACTTCCTGCAGCACGTGGGATGACATAGGAGGAATAAATATATGAAACAGTGAAGCATCCATATGAAATATCTGGAAAGCAAAATATGGTGAAATCATGTGAAATCCGACATCTTAAACTACCTTAAGCTTAGGTAAGATGGGTGTTAGGGTCAGTGGAGTAATGATGAGGCCATGAAGCCATAAACAATTGACATGGGCAGAAGCGAACAAACGGAGAATCCAAGTATGTAGCCTACAAACGTAATACCGTGAGGGTATAATTCAAAAGTGGAGGATGGGACAGTACTGCAATATCGATGCCCCATCTATTTGGTGTACCTATGGGTAAAACATAGCGGAGATAACTTTAAATGGGGCACAGCATCTTCATTGCACGCCGTCTTCGATCCATTTTGTGGGGAAGAAACCCGACCCAACATTTTTTTGAAATCTGTTTGACGATAGATTGATGGAAGAACGAATTAGGAAGTATTGCGCTGATGCTGGTGGAGCAACATGCTCGTATGGTATGGTACAATGCAAATGCAATGTATAAATATCTTACTGCACATACAGTACAACATTTTTTAGGAATAACATTGCAAACACCCCTTTTGTTGGACAGGGAGTAACCAGCAGGAAAGCATCCCAGTTGTGTTCACAACGCGGCTGCAACGCCAAGCGGCTCAAAGCCGGTCCCCGGTGTCGAGTCATCCAGTGGCTTGGGATCTTTGGATTTTCGGCTCGGCCGATCCATCCGGTCCATCCGGTCGAGCCGTTCGGGGCGGCGATCCATGGCGCTTTGCGCCGCGTGCGCCTTGCTTTGCTCCTGGGGTGTGGTTTCAACCAGCGTCACAATGTGGTAAACCCAAGAATTCACCAATCCTATCACCAGAAATGGATGCCATAAGATGCCATAAGCCCTCCATAAATGAAGGTTTATGACCGAGTTGGGTTTACCACATTAGAAGCAAAACCATCCAATCATGTCCAGGTAAAAAACATCAGTGATGCATGGACAACCTGCCGTGCTGTGAAATGATACGAAATGATATGAATTTTGTCCGTGATACAGACCCTCATTACAAGTACCACACTACTAATACTTATATCCAAGGTTTCCCATATCGTTATATCATCCATGATTTTCAAAAAAAATGAAGCAGAGTTGTGGCCTGTCCTCCTTATCCTCCTTCTCGAAGTCGTCGGCTGAAAGCGCAAAGACTCCACCGAGATTCTTCTTGCGTTCCTAAGGAGAAAAAACACAACCTGTCAAGTTCGGTCAGCGAGTCTTGCCCTACCTCCTTTTTGGGGTATATAACATCATTCTTGTCGGATTTGTATGCCATAGCCACTAATAAGATGAACGCATCTTGAATTTGATTCTTTCAAATAATAACTTGCGGCAACCAATTGCCCATTTGATCCTGTTTCTGATGGTTGAACGGACCCCAATTGTTTGGTGAAAACCTAACGACGTACCCATCATTTGTGTCAAACCTTGGCCGATAAAACCTTCCCTTGCAGATCGATCAACGTACCCACAGACTTACTGTCTGCCGCATGAAAAATCCTTCTCTGGATGATTTACCTACGTATGGTGTACCTATACACATGTGTAGCTTCCAAAAGGGTATTAGGTTACTAGCAAAATGCAATTTTTATCAATTTTGTCAAGCAAGGGAGTAACAGTGAAAATGCCGTGGGTTGGATTGACCAACCAACGCCAAGCGACTCAAGCATTTAACACCAAAATAACACTTGCTGATACTGTTTCAATTTTGCAATGTTCTTGGCCAATTTACATCACCCTGCATTGGTACGAAGGAGGCTGTGCAGGAACTCCAGCATCCATCAAATTCTGACGGCGCTTCTGCTCATCTTCACAGCCTTGACAAAGGGCTTGTGATTGTAGCCAACCTCATCACCGTAGTGCTGGTGCTACTTCTCAATGAAGCTGGAAAGGCAGTCTGACGTAATTTGGCGAAAGTGGATGAAATTGGCCAGTGCGAAGCATCTCTCCCAAAATAGGCTGCTCCAAAATCCAGCTGTGAACTATCATGTCCATTGGACATTTTGATATGATGCTTCCAACCCATGCTTCCAAGCCACCGGTTGAGCGGGGTCGGCCATGACCATGGCTAATGTTCACCCCGGAATGTGTACATCCACAGCTTTTTTTTGGGAGATTCTTAAGGGTTCCCACAATAATGTTAGTAAAGCCGAAATAACCAACCCATAGTTTGATTTATAGCACCCTTTTATGGAAAAAAAATGCGGATGGCTTACTATTGCATTTCTACCATTTTGATATGTCTCTTCATCAATCGTTGAAATACTAGTTAAACCACTATATAGTCAAAGTGGGTATTGCTAACCACAATTAAACAAACCATTCTTAATATAATAAAGACACAAGCCAAGCATAGTTAACTATTATTTGATCATATCTGGTTCATAAACGAGTAGTGGATATTATTATATATAACCACTATTAGCCACTATTAATCATATGATTGTTATGGTTACCTAATTGATTGCCATAACTAACCACTATATATATATATATAGTAATCTTTAGTAATAGTGGTAATAATATGCTTAGTTAAGACTATTATGTTAACATAGTATAAACGTTACCATTAATATTAGTGATTAACCATCGTTAATCACAAATAATCCTTAAGAAAAAACAACTATTCTTGATGGCCACTATTATCTAACCACTATAAAAACCGCTGTTATTCAATCACTTTTACTCACATTGCCACCAAAATCCCATGATCTCCCATCATTTTCCGTATTTAGTTGCCATTTTCAATAGCTACGTCAACCCAAAAGGCAAAGCGTTGTCATTCAACCAGTAGCCATATGATTTTCTCAAAAGCCAAGCTTCATTTTCCAACTTCCTTCGCTTTTCCTGTGCTTCCTTCAAGAGCTGCAGCTGCCTTCGCTCTTCCTCGATGCGCCGGGCTTCTCGTTCCTGGCCCGCTGTGCGACGATCAACGAGGAATTTACAATCCTACCACGCAAAAAAAAGGGTTTCAAACTTATTTAAGCCACACAAATAAGTGGAGCACGTGGTCTTTAATTACAATAGTTTGACATGTGTTTTTTCTAATTTCTTAAATTTTCATCTGCAAACATAGCAACAAACTTATATAAAATGATGATTTTGCACATACAAAAAGATGTGTGCTTTACCCATATAAAATTCGTTTGTATTCCCATCCGTTGGAGTTTAACAACATGCAAATTCAGCCAACTAAAATGCTTCGTTCTTTAAACTCGGGCCGGGACTGAAGCTAAGCCAAATCGAAATTTCACGGACCAAAATCCAAGTTTATGCAATCAAAAAATGATCTGACCCAATCATGATCCAGAACAAAAGGTCATAAAAGGTCCATGTTTTGCTCTTTGATCCACAAACATCAACCAGCTGGGAGTTTAACTCATAAAAACCGGAATTTATATAACCAGCAAGAGTGGGCCATATAGATCCCGAATATATAATGGCTTATTTTGTTTTTCTTGGGCATGTGGTATGTACTATTCATTGTGAGTTTCGCATTACTGTTTGTGCCGATGAGTTTGAAGCCATCAATCCGCAGGTACAAGAATTGCCCTTTAAGGGAACCCCATGTCTGGAGTACAGTATCTATCAACATGCCCAAAAATTGCTTGAATCAATGGCCATGTAAGGGAATATCCCAGCAAAATATGGCCAGAAATATGGTACAGTACCTCCATTTTAGGATCCTGAAATTCCCATTGACAAGTGCATATTTTCGAGTATGGAGCATCTGGGGGTTTCCTCCAATCCAATAGGGATTCGCTAAAACCATATATTATTCACCGTTAAGATGAACTTGGAACCACATGAAATTCATCATACCATCTTCACACATCATATTGTGAGCTTAATGTCAAAAAAAATCAAATGTAACAAATTATAACAAATCTGACAAAAAC